AGGTTAATTCCTAGAAATGAAACCATAAACAATGAAGTGTCGCGATTGTTTGGTCGAGGCAGAGACGTTAAGCCATCATCAACTTCAACGAATCCAGCAGCTGATAGCAATGGCGCCGCACACAACGAAGTCTTGTCACGCTTTAGGCGTTTGAACAACAACCGACGAATAGGGCAATCTTTAATACCAAAGCGCCGCAAGCCAAAACAACCAAACACCACTCCATTTATGTGCGATGTGATTCTGCTAAGTGGGCCAAAGGATTCAATAGTACCACGACAAGGCGTGAAGCTGGCCCTCGCTGAACGAGGCCACGYGCTCACAGSCTGTCGCTTCCATAAAGCAATGACAGAAKTAAATGTGGAAACCGCCATACATGAAGCGTTTKGAAGCATAATACCCTTGCTTGTGGACATTGAGATTCTTCACTCTGTCCACAATGCCCTAKTAAAGCCWGTTCYAAGTCCTGGGCAGCAGGGAATTGATGGCGCAATTTTACATCGACTYTTTAAAGTAAAGAACAAACCCATCTATGTCAGGCCCAGCAAGATTATTGTACCTGAACTTGCACAGGTAAATAATATATTKAACTGCACAAGCAGGAATTTGATGTTGCAGTGCACACAGTCTATGGGTTGATCCTCACATGGAAATGACGATGATAATTATTATAATAAAAGCAATATTCAGATCTTATAAATATCTTAATTATAATGAATTAATTAATGAATGTAAATGAAGATAACAATGGTKTATTGACAACCTTTCTACATAGGATCTCAACTTTTTATATGACCTGCCTTAAGGCAGACCACCAGAGAGAGAAAGAGAGATAAGACATTAAAATCTAAGAAATAAATAGAACGATTYTCAACTGAAATAACWTAAATGGATAAATATTCTAATCATTGTGTATTCATAATGATAATAACAATAGAGTAGTTCAATAAGTAAAATACAAAACTAGTTTTCAAATAGAAGTGTTTTTTTATTTTCAATTTCTTTGAAGGAAAATGAAGCGGAGAAAAGTAAAGACCAACTGTCATTCAATGTTGTTGAAGATACAGGTAAACAGCAATAATGCATCTATATGTCTACATTTTTAATAATAATTATTGGTAGCAAAACACCRTTGAAAAGTGCTCGATACACATATGTGCAGAGCGGTATCTGCCTGATAAGTGCGCAAGAAACTCAGAGTTGCAGTGAACCACGTTCCTTTCCTAATCACTACAATTGTCTCCATTTTTATGTATATTTTTGACTTCCAACTTTGTTTTTCTTTACATTGGCAGACAATGAAGACAGTGATGATTACTTAACTCCTGTGTTATTAAACAGCTCTACCCAAGTCCCTTCTAGCAGCAATGGTAAAAATATATGATGAAGGCAAATGTTCAATAAAACAGAAAAGAAAGCCACAAGTTGGTGTATTATTCAGAATGTATATTGTTATTGTGTATTATGTACTTTCCAATATAGACTTGAGTTTAAATTAAAGTTTAAATTTACTTTTCGACTCTAGGCAGCCAGCCCACCCTAGCCAGTATGTCCACCTTATCCACCTTAGCCAGAACGTCAACTGCAACCAGCCACCCCATTCTTTAATGCACTTACCAGGTCGTTGTACGACTTGTCTGTAGGTTTAGCSKGCGAAACCAGGTTTYTCAGTAGACTGTAGGTTTCCTGGCCTATAACACTAAGTAGTATTGCTCTCCATTTGTCTGCTCTTCGTTTTACAGCGTTAGCATTTGAGCCATCTTCAGCGGGTGGAATTTCGTCCAAGTCGTTAGCAGCGAAATAAATTTCCAATCTTTCTACGTACAGCTCCCAATTATCTTTCTTTCCTGTAAAACTTTCCATTTTGCCATAATGCGCCATCCTCGTCGCCAATTGTAGTGTATCAAGCCAGAAAACAGAGCGGATTCATAAAGCCTTGCATTTATTCCTGAGTTTACATCCAACTGACTCTTGCACAATTTCACACAACATATATACTAGAATAATTAATTACACGGAAGTATGTATTTCCTAGTGGATACATAGCATCCCCTGTCTGCAAGCACAATATCACCAGGGAGCAGWTTTCTCAAGATCCCACTGTTTTCTGTTAGGTATTTATCACTAACCCTACCACCCCAAGCTCTAGATATRAAAGATATAGAGCCTTGGGGAGTAATACCTATTASAAACTTTACAGTGTTGTGGCGTTTATAGTTTGACCATGTCATCGCCCGAGCAATCAAGCTAGATGGCCTTTCTATAAACACCTCAAAACAATCAATAATTACTGATACTTTGCTTCCAAAGTTCTTTTTGAAGACAGATGGCATTGTAGCTCTCATCTCTCTGGCCAGSGTATTAAAAACTGAAGGCGACTAGACATAACTTCACTCCATCTGTCAAAAATTCTTCCAGCCGTTGACGTTGCTATTTGAAATCTGTAAGCAAGATGTTGCAGTGGAACATTCAGTCTTATCCTTATCAGAACAAGTAGTAGTTCTTGAAACTGTGTTAATGCATTAGTAGTTGTAGATTTGATGTAATTATATTTGCAACATAATATAAAAATTGGGTAAGCCAGTGTAAAAGGCAGTTTTTTCATCATTATGACTGAAAGAATCAAAATTAAGTTGTGACTCAAGAAGCTTTTTCTTCAGATCTGATTGTTCTAATTGTAGAACTTGCAAATATTCCTCCTTCTGCCAGTAAGCACTCCTCCTTCTGCCAGTAAGCACTGTTTGTGTAGAGATTTCTGATCTTGTAACAGCTGTAGTCTGTACAGAGCCCTCTATGTCACCACAATTGACTTGGCATCCTTTGTCCTTCTCTGTGTTAATGCTTATTTCTTCTCTTTCTACATTTTCTATAAAATAAGAAAAGGTAAAAACTGATAAACAAAAATTAAGACTAATATTAACTTTTGGATAGAATTATTGTCAATTTAGTGATAAATAATGTTATTTGCTTCATCTTTGAAGAATGAACTGTTATCATTAGTATCAACAGTATTATTATATTATTTATTTAAATCATTATTAGTGTTTGAGTGTGGCCCATGAAATAAAAGTYAATTCAAAAGGAAACATTGAATAAGAGACTACTACTATGTGTACATGCATACACTCTTACATTATGTCATAAATAAAAAGTGAATAAAATATATAAACAGCAGTAATACCTAGTGGTAGCTCATTTAATGAACACTCAGGAATGGAGGAAGTTGTCACCTCTAGATGTGAGTTATCTCCAGCTCTCTTATTCCTCTTCTTTGGGGCTGTAATTTTAGTTTGTTTTGACCTTTTTTCTGCTCGGGCACCTCGTGCTGCAGCAGCACCGGCGTTTCTGATATTTGCATGGCCCATGTTTAATGTGGGAGCCCAGTCTATGTTATTGACGTCGTACAGATCGGATGGTTTACCTGAAGAATCACATGTTTTACATAATATTTTGGCGCGACATATAAGCTTATTTCTCCTATTTAACGGAGAAAAACAAAGCCAATAACTATCCATGCTCCACACAAATGCTTAAACCTACCTGACACAAAATGTGCGCTACAAACTCGAGTTAATTTAGTTTTTTMTTCAGTTAGATCGTCTTTTGATCGATAAATATTTTGCAGCAGGCGCTCTCTTCTTTCCTCAGTTAACTGTCCGGTTTTTTCGCTTTGGAGCGTTATGATCTTCGGAATTCTAAAAAAACTATACGCCCCTTTGTCTCTGATACTGTTGTGGCCACATTGAACCACAGCACAAAGAGTTGGCATAGTAAAAAAGGCTTAAAATCTTTACAACACAACGATTACCATAAGGGCCTATTAGCCCTTTTCGMGCCGGTTAGGAAACAAGTTGCGCGAGGAACCTATCGTTTTGCACCAAGGCGAGGCAAAATCGGGCAACGACCCTAAAATTTGTCATCTGAGCTTGTTTATCCTTTTGCAATGGCAGGATAATAATTTTTGATGCCGAAAAAGTCATAACTTTGATATTACTTGACACTTTTTTGTTTATGTGGCGGCTGCAGCAAACATGTTGCCCGCTTTGGTTTAAACCGCGAAAAGGTCTAATAGACCTTACCAGCGTACCACCGTACCAGCGCATATCCTCCAAGATGGCCGACTTCCGGCTTAACAACGAATACATAATTAGGTGTGACGTAACGTGCAAACGAAGAATTCATTGCTTTCAAATAATTAGCTTACGTACCGAGACTAAATCATTAATTTCATCGCTAAACCCAACCTAAACCTAACCTAGARCTAATTCAGTAATTCTGTAATTTTTTTTTCGTGAACGGACATTTTGACTTCCACTATTTACACGGCAGCCGGGCATGTAAGTAGACACAGGCTTACAGCAAAATGCGAAACGAAACGAAATGGTTTCGCAATTTACAGATTTAGGTGAGAAAACTGTAAATTGCGAAACAAATCCGTTTGTTTCGTTTTGCAGTTTACAATCTGTAAACTGCGAAACCGTTTCGCATTTTACAGATAAAAAAAACTGATAACTGCGAAATGAAAACATTTCCATGTTTAAACTGCCAAACGTCGACTTTTAAGTCGGAAAAAAAAATTCTAAAACCTTTCGCAATTTACAGATTTTACAAAAACCATACACTGCGAAACGAAGACATTTCCAAGTTTAAATCCTGTAAAATGTTCGATCGAAGCTATAGGCGCCATTTTGAATACAAAGGAATCCCGTTTCAAAAAAAGGAAACCCAATCAAAATGGGCAAATATCCCATTTTTTTCCCAAAAAAATCATAGAATTACTTGCTAGTGACGACTGTAGCCGAGCATTTTTCTTATTTTTARCGCACAACAGAACGACATATCACACACAGGGAGCCAACACGCTTGGTCYTTTTCTAATGAAAAACATAAATATTAAAATATAACTTCTTATTAAAAATCTACCTAAAATTGTTTTAATGACTGATTAGCCAATCTACGCATGTGGCATAACGACCTTTATTATATAGCGAGGATGTAACACAAGATTTCATTGGCTATAAAAACACATGAAACAGATGAAACAAGAAAAACGTTTTATATCATTAAAATAGCTCGCTTTCTACCCTGTTGTAGTTGTACTGTACAAAGCAGAGTCAAAAAGAAATTTTGTCATCGAGATTKGTCCTGAAAGATTTGCCCTGAAATGCTATATAATTTAATAAATTATCTTATTAACCTCGTTTGCGCTCGAGCAGTACGTGAAATTATGGACACTTGTCTTTTTTCCGCTGACTTATGTCCCTCACACGCGTCGCGCTACCTGCTCAGGGCATAAAAGAACTCGGTCCATTACTTCACGTACGGCCCTCGCGCTCAGTTAATAAGATATTAGTATGTCAGTCGATKTTAAATTACAAAGTCATGGAAACATTATGAGAGAAAAATATCAGGATGGAAAACTTTATATTGTARCTTAGCAAGTGAAATGCAACTCTCTCTGGAGATGATTCCTGTGCCCTTGTTTGAGTCGGGCTGCCACATCCTCAACAACTGCAATCATTCCCTTCCAAAAATATGGATGTCGCTGGAGGATGCATGCTTTTTTTGCACAATAAAACTTTGAGGCCACTTAGTTAACAGTTGGCTCCATGCCGATTACTTGACATTGCACGTTTTTTTTGGGATAAAAATACCTCTCTTTGTGGGTCACCGCGATGTCGTGTGGTATGCACACCACCGGTCCTTTTGCAAACTCCACTTTGCAACTTGCACATTTGATGACTTTTTTCACGTTCCTTGTAAATATAATATTAAACGCGTTCTTGTTATGCCAAACTTCAGAAAAAAGCAATGGCTTCTCAAAGTCGATATCATCGTCTGCTTGTGGCTTTTCTACCAAGATCAGAGTTGACTGTACATTGTTTTTTCCCTTTTCTCTTTTTCTTTTCTTTGGTCTTTTCTCCGGCCCGTTTAGGGACCTGCTGGTGTAGAATCTTCCCTTCCTTATTCCCCTTTCGGTTGAAATTGKTAAGGAATGACACAGTTAACTTTTGCATCCATCTCCTGGGTCTCTTTTCACCATTTTCATTGTACAATTGTCTAGATCTTGCAAGAAAGGGCCGCATGATGATGGGATAGCGGACTTTCCTCAATACATGGCGCTTATTACAAAATCCACAGTCCCAGCCTTTTGTAAAATACTTTTCTGGAAAGTCATTTTCGTCTAAAGCTATGCTATCCTTTCCAAAATATTTTTTCTTACCATGAAATAAGTGTCTAAACACAGAATGTTCAAAATGAATTGTAGAATCAGTTTGCAATGAGCTTGGAAGACCACCTTCCACTACGTTTTTAATTTGTTCGATATGAGACTCTATAACATGTTTCTCAATCTTGGGTTTCTCAAAGTTTCTGCACAAACAAAACATATGT